CAAAAAAAGGCTGCAGAGTCTTTTTCCCGCTCAGCCACGGATGTAGGAGCTGTCTGTTGTACATGTATAGGTGTATTCTTAACTAAATTTGCTACTGCATGTTGTTCTGGTAATTTATCCGCTGTGATCCTTCCTTCTGCTTTCACGCAATAATTAGAAAAAAATGCTTGAGCTTTAAGAAACCATTGTCTGATGCGTTAATTTGAGGCAGTGCAGTGGGTTTCAGCCAACCATGTTACGTAACGTTGGCAGAAGAGGGTTTTAATTCAGTATTTCTTGACAAATCAAAGTGCTGTTTCATTGAAGTCTGCCATTTAAATGGAATCTAAGTGAAATGACACCTTCAGATTACAATGCAGTTGGTATGATAGTGCTCACGGCCTTGTGAAAGGCCCTTGGAGCTACCGCAGGGGAAGCTCAGGGTTTACTGTCGGTAACCTGAGTTAGTACAGGGGCTTCTATTAATCTCTTCTATTCTAATTCTGTTTGAATCTCTTAACTAAATTGACATTTTTTGAATGCATGTAGAATTGCATGGGGCTTCTTTAACGGTTGTGGTTTCTATTTTCCCAGCATTATGCAATAGAGAGGTCAGAGCTTTTATGTATTTAAGTACTTGTTGTTTCTAGTATGATTAGTGCACCCCAAAGACCTTTTTATGTCAACGTTATTCAGATCCTTTATTGATGGTAGTGCAGAAGTATTGTTCTCACGTGTAAGTGTTAAGAGACCTTGGATTGCTGTAAAAGAGACCTTGGATTGCTGTAATAAGTCCTGTATGAAAGCAAGCTTTGTGTGTCCCCAAGTAAATATTTTTTTAAAAGAATGTGAAGACCACTTCTATATTGGCTGTGTTTGCAAGCATCTCTGGTCGGGGGAATCACGGACCACGCTGAAGATGGTGGCATGCTGCTCACGTTTTGCCTGGGATTTGCTAGATCTCCTGTATTAAGTGAAATACCTGAAACAAGAGGCCAGTTAGCCGAGGCCCTACTTCGCACTGGAAGGCCTGAGCAGAAAAACTAATGGAGGAAGACTAGGAAGAGTGTAAACTGACAATTAGGGAGCTGCACTTAATGTCCATGGATGGCGGGCAATAAATAAATAAATAGAGAGCCAGTAGCCTGGTGTTGCAAGGGGTAGAATATTCACTGGGCATAGAGCTTGCTTGAAAGGAGGAGTTTTCTGAATAAATGTAACCTCCTGCTTGTTTTGGTCTTTGGAAATGATTGGTTCATATTTAGCTCCACTGTCTTGTCTCCCGACCATGCACGCTTCCTGTACACTAAGTGTGCACTTTTTATGTAGGCAGACAACATGTATTTATCTTGTCTTTTCCAATATTTTTCACAGCCTAGGTCTGCTTTTTTGACAAGTAGCTATGGGATAGTGAAATTAACCTATGTTTTGGCTTGCAAGTACTTGTCCCTCTGAGAAACGATGTGATTGCAAGTAGGTACAAATGATTTTTAGCAAAGGAGGACATAAAAGTAAGCTAATAATACGCCTTATTTGACATTGTTAGGGATTACTAATCTTAGCAGTCTATTCCTTCTAAAGGTGGAAATTGTGAATTGCATGAAAACAGTATTTTGCAATCAGGTAAAGGATTATTCTTCCAATGAGAAGGGATGAAATGTTTTTTACATAGTGGTCTGACAGTGAAGGAAGAAGGCACTTCTAGGGTCACTGACGGGTGTACTGCTTGACTACCCAATGCTATCAACTGTTACGGTTTCAGTTATTCCAGGGAGCAGAAAATATTTTAATTTCTGAAGATGTGGAGAAGCAAAATATCCGTGAGGTGAAGGGCTGAAAGAATCGGTGTCTGATAGGAAATCCCCTCCAGCTGAGTGTTAGAGAAGAGGCTGTTTCTTTTGTTCTGAACGTGGGCAGTTCAGGGTCGCCTCCATCGGCCTGCCAGCTGTCTCGGGGTGCTTCTCCAGCACTTTGCGGTGCTCCAGCAGAAGGCCATGAAAAGCCTGCTGGACACCGCAGGGCAAAGTTCACCAGCCACTTCTCTGAAGACTGTCCGCAGGGGAAAGAGGAATGTGAATTCTTACCCTGAACTCTCATAATTGTGAGGGAAAATCTGAGGAGAACTGATTCAAAGGGCACTAATTTTAAAAAGCACTTTTCTAGATGCAGGCTTTCTGTGTTTGCTACAGTAGTGACAGAGAAGTAAAATGTGCTGTGCTGCCGAGTGTGTATTCTACACATCCTGAGGAGTGAGACAGAAACCTAGTGAACAGTATGGTGTGGTGTATTAATTTCTGCAATGTAACTTCATAAGAAGTTTTATAATAATCTTTTCTATATCCTGTTTCATCTTTTCTGTTCACTGTTTTCATAGTTACAGAAAATACTTATATTAGTTGCTGTCTTACAAGATCACAGAATCACAGAATGGTTGAGGTTGGAAGGGACCTCTGGAGATCATGTAGTCCAACCCCCCCTGCTCAAGCAGGGTCCTCTAGAGCATATTGCCCAGGACCGCATCCAGGCGGGTTTTGAACATCTCCAAGGAAGGAGACTCCACCACCTCTCTGGGCAACCTGTGCCAGTGCTCTCTCACCCTCACCGGAAAGAAGTTTTTTCCTCGTGTTCAGAGGGAACTTCCTGTGTTCCAGTTTGTGCCCATTGCCTCTCGTCCTGTCGCTGGGCACCACGGAGAAGAGTCTGGCCCCATCCTCTCGACATCCCCCCCTCCAGATACTTAAAATGGTGCAAATCGTTTGCTGTACTAACACATTGCGTTTTGTAAAGAAATCTAAGTATATGATTTGTTTTCAGTTTGGGACTGCCAACATCTTAATTGTGCTCTGAATACCAGATGCTGTAACATACTGCAAAACACCTATCTGCCTAGCTCCACTTCTGTAGCTATTTGCAATATCTAATAGTATAACTAGAATTGTTCCATCCTGCCATTTTAAAGTTGTATGATGTAATTTAGGAAAAAAAAGATAATTATTGGGGAGTTTTTTGTATCTAATTTGAAACAATGCCTGCATGATTTTTAGATTTCATCAGTGCAGCGTATCTCATCCTGACAGTTCAGCTGGGGATTGCTGTTGGTATAATCTGCCTGTTCGTTTACTGGTATGTTGGTGTGTTATTGTTTCCTTCGTGTATTCGTTGGTAACAACATGTATGATGCAGTTAAAAAACATTGCTCTTAGCCATTCTGTAAGATTAGTTTGTTAAGTTCTGCCACGGAACGAAAAAGTAGTTTGATTTTTCCAGCCCCATTCTTGAGCGCTCTTCACAACCAAATTAAGGTGAACCGTGCTGCAAAGAGGGGTGTTCTTTGCCCCGGGCATGTGCAATGCATGAGGTAGGGGACCTCAGGGAAGCCAAAGACTGTCTCATGGTTGAAGTAGTTGAACGGTGCCCTGAACGTTTGTATCCTATCCCTGCCTTTGGCATGGAGCTCCTTGGGTGACAGTGAGAAAGTCAGTTATACCAAAATGTTCCACTGCTTCGGCCTCA